CGGCGTGGCTCACAGTGCGGCTCACGGTGCTCCCCCCGCCTTGTACTGCGGAGGCTGCGCGGCGCGGCCGGGGCGGAGGGCGGTGGGGCTTCAGGCTGTTTTACATAAAAGGGGACGTTTTTCTCTCGTTGCAGATACCAGAACGTGGGAGCCGCCTCGGCGCTAACCTGCTGGGGCTTACTGGTTGTTAAGTAGACTTCAAAGCGGTGTGACATCGCTCCGCCAGTCCCTCCCTTCCTGAGAAAGGGTAGCTGCTTTCTGAGCCATGACATACCAACTTCATGTATCCCTAAGATTGTCATCAGCTTCTTGGGTGTCTTTTCTGAAGCCTTACTGAGGTTTAATTACTTATAGGTTCTAGTCGTTATAAAGTTATTAATATGCTTGTACTACTCAGTTTTAACTCTGTAATTGACTCTTGTGTTGTTATGAGTCATTATTTTAATTTGGGAATGGTTAAATGGCCAAAGAATTAAATTATTTACCGATAAGGGCTGTTTTAGTTGGCTACTGTTGGTTTGCAACTTAAACTTGCATCTTTTATTTTTTTTTTTTTATCCTATGCTTTTTCTGTGTTATGGCTGCTGCAACAATAGTTCATGATACATCAGAAGCTGTAGAGCTCTGTGCTCCCTGTGGGCTATACCTTAAACCCATTACAAAAATGACCATCAGTGTGGCACTTCCTCAGCTGAAACAACCGGGAAAATCCATTTCCAACTGGGAAGTGATGGAAAGACTGAAAGGGATGGTGCAAACTCATCAGTTTTCCACTCTGCGGATTTCTAAAAGCACGATGGATTTCATCCGGTTTGAAGGAGAGGTTGAGAACAAAAGTTTGGTTAAATCTTTTCTGGCGTGCCTCGATGGCAAAACGATAAAGCTGAGCGGCTTCTCTGACATCCTGAAAGTGCGTGCTGCGGAGTACAAGATTGACTTTCCCACCAGGCACGACTGGGACTCGTTTTTCCGGGACGCGAAGGACATGAACGAGACGCTGCCCGGGGAGCGGCCGGACACCATCCACCTGGAGGGCTTACCCTGCAAGTGGTTTGCAGCCAAGGACTCCGGCTCCGAAAAGCCCAGTGAAGAAGTCCTTATAAAAGTTTTCCAGAGTTTCGGAGAAATACGTAACGTGGACATACCCATGCTGGACCCTTACAGAGAAGAAATGACTGGCCGAAATTTCCACACGTTCAGTTTTGGAGGCCATTTGAATTTTGAAGCTTACGTTCAGTATCAGGAGTACGCGGGTTTCATTAAGGCCATGAATGCCCTGCGAGGGATGAAGCTGATGTATAAAGGTGACGATGGCAAGGCAGTGGCCTGCAATATAAAGGTGAGAAACTGCAGGCTTCTTCATGGGAGCTGCTTTAAAAGCTCGAGTACAACTAGGTGTTATTTCTCTAGTGCTTAAAACCTACATCTGTTTACAGTGGTGAAGGCAACAGGTGACATTAACAGCACTAGTGCAGTTTTATGGAACAGCTGTAATAGAATTTTAAAAGGAAGATCATGTAAGAAAAACCTGTTTGTAGAATATGTGAACAAAGTGAGTGGGAGTTTGCTTAATTTTTTTTTGACAAGACAGTTCTAGAAATTAGGACCACTGCATGAAAAGACCAAATACATGAACATCACCTGCTAAATAGTTTTTAGAAAGTGATATGTATTTATATGTCTTATCATTTCACCTAAGATTGTAATTCTGAACAAGCTCAGACATATTTCACCAGAGGGAGGACTTTAAAGTGCATTATTCTCTCTGGTGTTCACTGCAAATAGAAACTTTAGGGCAGAGTTTCAGTGTCTGTATTTGATCCCTGCTTTGATGAGGAGCTCTACCAGACAGGTATCAGAACCATGAAGTTTAATAGCACGTGGCCTGTACAGCCTGGGCGATACAGAGTTAATCATTGGTGTACTTCACGCACAGAAAGGCTCCACAAAATTGTCAATTATAATCTCAGACTGTAGGACAGCTTCCTCTCAATGCAGTATGCTTTATTCATAGTATTTACATACTGAGTTTTCCAGATCTTTTTTTTTTTTTTTTTTTTTCCCTGTAACCTCATTGTCTGAGAAAATACAGCTATGACAGGAGAGAGCAAGACAGTCTGTTCAGATGTAGTATCTGTGAAAGCATGGCCTGAAGAAAACTTGCTCTGGTATGTTTGGAAGTGGTCTGCGCATTTACATATTGGTCGAGTGAAATGTTTGTGGATGTGTTTCAGTATGCTCAATAGTCATTCATCAAGTCAGAAGGTGTATTTTAGGAAAAAGCTTTAAGTGCTTCTCTGTGTAATGTGGGAACATGCAAATATTTAGTCAATTTGTAGTTTAGTCCGTATAAGTAAAATACCGTCATCTTTTATCTTGTTACCAGAGTTTGTCAGGTGGAGCATAGGAACTGTTTATACCTTGACCCTCACAGTTTTCAAGGGGATGTGAAATTCAAACTATCACTTACATGCAGGGGATCAGGGTTCCCAAATTTAGTTTGGCTACTGAAGTGGAAGAATGCCTTCCTGGCAGCTGCCCCGGGAACTGGTAGGAAAGAGAGGGGGCTGTGTTTGCAACTGTGCTTCAGGGCAGATCCCTTTCATACAAGGTCACAACACCTTATCTCTTTCTGCCCGTCTGTCCTTTTAGCCTGTTAGGGAAACGTTGTTTTACACAGAGCCTAGGTGAGTTAAACCACAGAGTATGTGCTCCTTGTTCTCTGCCCCAGGATTCGTGGGCCTGCAGGAATGTGTCACAGACCCCTGACTGCTCAGAGGGGACATCTGGCATGGGAGATCAGGACACCAGGGGTGCCTGGTCTGCGGGTGTCCTGTTCCGGCATGCAGCTGGACGTGGCCAAGGTGTGCTCACTGGAAGCTGAACCTTTTCTCAGGTCTCATTGCCCAGATGTGTGTAACTTTCATCTCTCTTAAATTCCCAGTCTCAAACTTGGAGCTTCAGCCCAGCGTGCTTCAATTTTGGAATCTTGGGTTCAGAACTGATGGGAAGGCACTTGCTTAAACCAGCTGCTGAATGTCATAGAACTGTTTCTTAAGCTAAACCTGAGTATCACAGTGTAGGCCTATTTCTAGGTAGTGTTGTTAGGTCCCTAATGGCATATGTGAGTTCAAAGAGTTTTATATGTTGCTCTTCTGACAGGCTGAAAAGATTGGACAGCCAAGGCCTAGGGCACACTAGGGTTTACTCTTGGGTATCAGGCACACAGGAAAGTCTGAACTGGTACCTAATTGTGCAGGCATTTAGTTCCTTGTTACCTGGTTGTAGTACTTCCGGTGCTTCCTCTGGGACCATAGAGAAGTTCCTGTTGTTTTGAAAAAGTTCTTATATTTCTGATTGCACTTACCCTGGGTTTTGGCTACCTTTGTGCTTGGTTAAAAGGGGTTGTTTGTGTTATTTTGGTTTTTTTTTCCTACTCAAAATTTTTTTCAATTGTATCCTGTAAAGGTTTCTTTTGACTCAACAAAACACCTCAGTGATGCATCGATTAAGAAGCGTCAGCTTGAAAGGCAAAAGCTTCAAGAGCTTGAAAAACAGAGAGAAGAACAAAAACGTAGAGAGAAGGAAGCTGAAGAGAAACAAAAAGAGGAAGAGAGGTATTTATTGCTCAGTCAAATTTTTAATAATCAGGCATAACAAAACTGTAGTTGCTTCTTTGTATCAGCATCAATAGATAGAAAATAACTAAACACAAGTTTCCTTTTAAAGTTCTGCTTCTGCAGTTAAAGTGTGCTTAAAACTGAGTGAGAATATTGTGGTCCTTTTGAGGAAATAGTGTTCAGGGATTATGAGATTTGGGGGAGAAGACTGTTTTACACATTTTATTTTCTTGAACAATAATTCCAAGCGCTGGGAACTTACATGATGTGTAGATTCTGATGGAAATATGTGGACTGCAAATGGAGAATAGATGCACTGGTTCTACTACTAACTAACTTTGATGTAATTGATGTTAAGAACAAATGAGCTTTGTGTTTTTCCAGGAAGAGAATGGGATACAAGCACATCTTAACAATGACATTTTAAGAAAATGTACAGGGGTGTAAATGTCACAACAGCTATTCAGAATATTAAACACAAATGGAGCAAGTTGTTTCAGATCTTGGATGGTGTCCACTTACCTTGATATATAGCTACAAATTCTCATTGCTTCATGTTTAGATACTGAACAGCTTCTGAAACTGTAAGGTTGTTTAGATTATCACTAATCCTTATGTTCAGTTCAAAATATTAAATCTACAAAATACGCAATTTCCTAAAAGTCTTGCCATTAGACACCCGATCTCGGAAACCCTCTTCATTTTACACAAGCTGCCACTTTGTCCCAGTGACTGAAATAAAACCCACCAACTCCTGCACAAATTAATTGGCTTGGTATTTTTCATCTCACTATTATGATTGATGACCCAGCTGCCTGATGCATTTTGTTATTGTCTCTGCTCAGATTGGTTTAAAACAAAATAAAATTGTTGTAGTCATATTTTGTGTTTGGATTCCAACTTGTTTTTAAATATTTTCTGGCCGATGGTGGCTTGCTATCACAAGTCACGGTTAAAATGGGCACTGTTTTCTACTTCTGTTTTTCAGTAATCAACAAGACTTAAACAAATTTACTCAAAGTACAAAATGTATTTTTACAAAGCGTAGGAGTCTAAAATTGTACCTGCCCTAGATAAGGTAAAAAAAAAATTAATCTCTTTTTAGGAGGCAGAAGGAGCTTGAAGAACATGAGAGAGAAAAGAAAAGGGAAGAAAAGTTGCGCAGGAGAGAACAGAAGCAGAAAGATCGTGAAGTTCGACGGAACAAAAAGCAGCTTGAAAAGCTTCAAGCTGAAGAACAGAAAAAGCTGCAAGAGAAGATAAAGTTGGAAGAAAGGAAGCTCCTGTTAGCTCAGAGAAACCTTCAGTCCATTAGACTAATTGCAGAACTGCTAAGCAGGGCAAAGGTAACTTAAATATTTTATTTCAGAAGCTAATGAGGAACCCAGCAGAACCAAGCCTTTTACTGACCTGAGAGGAGGCGTAGAGCACTTTTCATTAAACTACAGATGTACTAGCTCTCCAGGTGCTATTCCTTAAACCAAAAATTCAAAAAAGTGCAAGGAAACAGTTTTTCTCCTTTGGTAAAATATGCATGCGACATGTAGATAAATGGAAGATTGAACTTGAACCTGTAGCCTTGTAGTGTACAGGTAAAAAAAAAAAATTAAAAAAAATCACTTTGTACCTGTAAGCTAATTGTCAGGCTTGCTGTTAAGTCCAGTAAAAGAATGTGCAAGCATGATAAAATGAACTAAGCACAGAGAGTAAGGTGGAAAACTCCTTATTTCCAATTCCAGTTTTGATGCTGTTTCCTATGTGGCTTTCAACAGTTCCATTAACTATTTGCATTTTCAGAGAGTGAGCTTTCATTATTTGATGTTTGAAAATATGCAGAATGATTTTTCTGTAGGAGAAGTACTGTCAGCAGATGTTTCAAATGTTAAGCTCTGGGTTTTTAACAGTATTGTTATTTTTCACTGAAACAGGATGTCATTTGCTTAAGACTTGAATAAAGTCATGTTAGTGTGTAGCGTTGGTTGATAATTTTCTGTAGAAATTTAAGACTGTGGCAAATCACAGATACTTCTTCCTTGATGCCAGTGAACCCTCATACAGTGCTGTGTGGTCAGTTCCATGCTAAGACTTGCAGGTTTTGTAATTTTGCAGGTGTGAAATAGGACGATTGTCTAATAAAATAGAGCAATGTATTTCTTTCACTCCCAGAATTTTGAGATCTACACTAAGCCATTTTTCTTGGTCAGAATGAGGAGAAAAAAAAAAAGGTTTGAGCCTTCTTCAGTATCATGAGTTTCTAAAGTGGTTGACAAAATGAGAATCAGTTTCTACATCATATGTATGTATTTGCTGCTTTTTACATATTCATTGTAGAATCACCTATGAACCACAGATTGCAATCGCCTAAGAGAAATTAATGTTTTAAATTTGAAAGAAACTTTGAGGCATTGTCCCTGATAAGTGTATTTTAATACTGTAAATTTCACCTTGTTCTAGTTTGCGTGTTACCCTTGTCATGTTAAGGAGCCACAAAGAGTAAGCTTTGTTTTTGCCTTGTGGAACAGATAGGAGAAAAAAACACTCAAAAGTTTTTGGACTAGCATCAACCTTTCACCTTACAAGAGTTGTGTATTAGTGGTCTTTTGTTGGTTGGTTGGTTGACTTTTGTTTGTTTCCCTTTAAGAGGGGATATGACCATTTTATTTTGGGGTGGTTAGGTTTTGTTTGTTAGATTTTATTTTGTTGCTGTATTGCTGCTTTTGCGTGATGGTATAACTTGGAAACATGCTCAGGTCTATAAATATTTTTTTGCTTACTCTTACCTTTCCCTTGACTGTCTTTCAGACAGTAAAGCTTTTGGAGCAAGAACATAATGAAGAAAAGATTCGTCTTCAGCAGCTAGAGGAGAGACGAAGGCTCCAGGAGGCTGAGCTGAAACGTGTGGAAGAGGAAAAAGAGAGAGCACTAGGGTTGCAGAGGAAAGAAAAGGAACTGAGGGAGAAACTGCTGAACAATCTTCTGAGCAAGAAAATTGATGCAGTTAATCAAAACAAAGAAGAAACTGAAGCATGTCAGTCTGACGTGCCAAAAACCCCTGATGGTGTTCCACACACTGTGTCATCCAGCTGCGTCACGTCTACCTCAGGACAGGCTGCCACAGGCAAACTAGCTCCTGGCTCTCAAAAAGAAGTAGCATCCCCCGAGACTGCAGACACTCAATGCAAGTATTTGAACGGCAACGTTCATGACAAAGTTCATGCCAAAGAAGGTCAGAAACTTCATACCACAAACTCTGAGAGATGTTCGGAGAAGAGAAGCTCAGGGGCACTTTCATGTGTTCCTGCTAATAACCAGCAGCAGAAGAGCCTCCCTAGCTATGAGCAGGATCGCTGCAGGAGGGACTCCCACTGTGAGCAGGGCAAGCGTAGCGCGGAGCCGAGGAGGAGGAGCCGTTCGTGCAGCAGCGTGAGCACCGAGGAGAGCAAGGGTAAGCGCGAGAGGAGCCGGCACGGGAGAGAGGAGAGGCGCAGGAGGGAGCGCAGGAGCTACAGGCGCTCCAGCAGAA